CTGCTGCTACTACTACAATTAATACGACTACTACTAAATCTACTACTACTACTACTACTACTACTACTACTACTACTACTACTACTACTACGGCTACTACTACTACTACTACTACTACTACTACTACTACTATTAATACGACTACTACTAAGTCTACTACTACTACTACTACTACTACTACTACTACTACTACTATGGCTACTACTACTACTACTACTACTACTACTACTACTACTACTACTACTACTACTACTACTACTACTACTACTATTAATACGACTACTACTACTACTACTACTACTACTACTACTACTACTACTACTATGGCTACTACTACTACTACTACTACTACTACCACTACTACTACTACTACTACTACTACTACCACTACTACTACTACTACTACCACTACTACTACTACTTCCACTACTACTACTACTACTACTACTACCACTATTACTACTACTAACACTACTACTACTACTACTATTAATACGACTACTACTACTACTACTACTACTACTATTAATACGACTACTACTAAGTCTACTACTACTACTACTACTACTACTACTACTACTACTACTACTACTATGGCTACTACTACTACTACCACTATTACTACTACTACTACTACTACTACTACTACTACTACTACTACGGCTACTACTACTACTACTACTACTACTACTACTACTACTACTACTACTACTACTATTAATACGACTACTACTAAGTCTACTACTACTACTACTACTACTACTACTACTACTACTACTACTACTACTACTACTACTACTACTACTATTAATACGACTACTACTAAGACTACTACTACTACTACTACTACTACTACTATGGCTACTACTACTACTACTACTACTACTACCACTACTACTACTACTACTACTACTACTACTACCACTACTACTACTACTACTACCACTACTACTACTACTTCCACTACTACTACTACTACTACTACCACTATTACTACTACTAACACTACTACTACTACTACTACTACTCCACCTCTTCCATCACACCCACCACCACCACCACTACTACCACCATTACCACTACTACTACTACTACTAAGTCTACAGTACTACTACTACTACTACTACTACTACTACTACTACTCCTACTACTACTACTACTACTACTACTACTACTACCACTACTACTACTACTACTACTACTACTACCACCACTACTACTACTACTACCACTACTACTACTACTTCCACTACTACTACTACTACTACCACTATTACTACTACTAACACTACTACTACTACTACTATTAATACGACTACTACTACTACTACTACTACTACTATTAATACGACTACTACTAAGTCTACTACTACTACTACTACTACTACTACTACTACTACTACTACTACTACTACTATGGCTACTACTACGACGACCACTATTACTACTACTACTACTACTACTACTACTACTACTACTACTACTACTACTACCACTATTACTACTACTACTACTACCACTACTACTACTACTTCCACTACTACTACTACTACTACTACCACTATTACTACTACTAACACTACTACTACTACTACTATTAATACGACTACTACTACTACTACTACTACTACTACTACTATTAATACGACTACTACTAAGTCTACTACTACTACTACTACTACTACTACTACTACTACTACTATGGCTACTACTACTACTACCACTATTACTACTACTACTACTACTACTACTACTACTACTACTACGGCTACTGCTACTACTACTACTACTACTACTACTACTACTATTAATACGACTACTACTAAGTCTACTACTACTACTACTACTACTACTACTACTACTACTACTACTACTACTATGGCTACTACTACTACTACTACTACTACTACTACTACTACTATTAATACGACTACTACTAAGACTACTACTACTACTACTACTACTACTACTACTACTACCACTACTACTACTACTTCCACTACTACTACTACTACTACTACTACCACTATTACTACTACTAACACTACTACTACTACTACTATTAATACGACTACTACTAAGTCTACTACTACTACTACTACTACTACTACTACTACTACTACTACTACTATTATGGCTACTACTACTACTACTACTACTACTACTACTACTACCACCACCACCATCACCACCACCACCACTGCCACTCTTACTACTACTACTACTACCACCATGCACCACCACCACCACCACCACCACTACCCCAGGTCACCACCACCACCAGTCCACCACCACTACTAGCACTACTACCGGTACGTAGCTAGGCAAGCCATAATGTTGTCACGCCTAGCAACCATATATATATAATTCACTTTTCGTAACAAAAGAATGAAAATAATTCACATATAGGCACTTTACAAAGATTAGTGCATTCAACTTGATTACATTCCATAAATAGCATATTATTTAATCAGGACCTATACGGCCTATATAAGAATAGAAACTTTATGATATTATATTTTATATTGCTGCTTTTACTCTGTTAATTTTTCAGAAAAAACAATAAAAACAGAAAGAAAAAAAAGAAAAAAAAGAATAGAAACTTTAATACGAGAGAAGTTGAGACTTAAAAGAAGAGTGCGCTCATCTTCAAATGGATCAATAAAATTGAATAATGATTGTCCTGAAAAAGGTGTTCGTACTTGATTGAAAGGGATAACGACGCGGACATAACTACCCAGCCCAATCTATTCAATAATTTCCTTTTCAAAAGACCCGCAGTCAGGCAGATAATAGTGCATCTCGCCCCCGTTATTGATCACCTTGCGTCTAATCTCTTCCACTAAGCTGTTTAGCCAATACAAATTCCAAGGTCTGCAAATAGTTCGTCCATCTCACCGTACCGGCCAGTAGTTTGTGGCCGAGCCTAGCCTAGCCGTACTAGAGCAGGAGAGCCTCGGTCCATACCAGATTTCTTTGAGCTGTGTATTTGTTTGATCTCGTTTTCACGTGGCTGTGTTGCGATCCGATTGAAGACGTTTACAGATAAGAAAAGAGGAAACACCTTGTAATTGATACAAAAGCAGTGTTGCCGAGTAACGGTAAACCCCGAAGTCAAGTGCCGTAACCGTGAAGGGAAAGGTGTGCATGTCAATTGTCTTGATGTATGTCGCGCCCGGACGGACCGCGGTGCCATCACAGTGCTAGCTAATTGTTTGTGGGGCATCAATGAGCGTTTAGATTCTAAATTTAAATTAGACCAAGTAGTTACTGGACCTAGACGAGAGACATACTTAGTGGACGCATGTGGACACAAACTGCCAAGTGATATCATTCCCATAAATGGCATTTAAACTGGATTTCATGAATTGGAATAACCTTTAAATGTTGACATCAAATCAGTGAATTGGGTGGTGTGTATTAGTTGTAGAAGATCTAACTTCTATTGGAATTGATTCAAGAAGCAAGGCCAAAAGACTTTTAATTTGATGGAGAGGTAAGTGCATACCATTACTCACTACTTAGACTAACATCCACTAACCTGAATTTCAAACAGTTTATAAAGTGCCAAATGTGAATGATATGATATAATTAACTAAATTAATTTTTGAATATTAAAAAGGAGAATTTAGTTAAATGTTTTACTGAACTACAGTGCATGATGTAATAGTTTGGCGGCTTCCAAATGAATGAAGTGATGCTTGCATATTTAGCAGTGGCGTAGCTAGCTCGGGTGGGTACTTGTCCCCCCCCCCCCCCCCCCTCAATCGAATTGCAAAAAAAGAGGTGAGAGCGATGGGAGATGAAGGAAGAGGAAAAGAAAGGTATCTGAAACCACAAGATGCCCAAATATATCACTACAGGTATTTTGATGAGGAAATAAAAAAATTGAGATATTAAAATTAAATTATGAAATGAGATAGTTTCAGGTAGTGAGATCCATAAATACCCCCCATGTGAAAATATACCTGTACGTCTACATGTATGTGTACAATGGATGTAAAACATATCCTCTTAATTCATTTTTGGTTTGGCCCTAAGGTAGTATAGGGGTGACCCAAAACATTTTTAACTCCTAACAGGGTGCTGTGTTTAAAAAAGGGTTGAAAAATGCTGATCTAGTGGACTAAAGAATGGTGCCCCCCCCAAAAAAAAAAAATAAAAAATGGGGGGGGGGGGATGAGCCTACTCTACAACTCTGACCAGTACTCTATGTTGGCATATAAATGTGGGGGTAGTGATATTGATTAATTTCTACTCTTTATTTGCTAAATTTGTTTAAAAAATGCACGAGTGCCATTTTGTTTGGAATGATACATATCATTCCCCAATTCCCCAAGGTAGGCAGTCACTGGGAGAGAGTTTTTCAAATAAACACATTCCAAATTTCTCTGAGAAGCAAACAAACATAAAAATAAAAATCCTCTCATTTTTAGGGCCCCTTTTTTGCCATTAAAGTGGTTGAAATATAGAACAGATTAAAATGTTTGATAATGATTGAACATATTCATTGTTTATGCATTTGAGCTAAACTTGTGAAACATCAAGGGTACAATTTGTCTCCAAACTTAAATGCAGGTGTAATGTACAATCTATCTAAATGGGAATTATTATACTCATTTTGTGCCATTACATGTATATCAGAACCATACCTGGCGATAAAGTATCATTCCAATTTTTTCTAGATACCTTGCTATTTTTACTCACATTTATGGTTGCAGATAGCTGCAGGTGATTCTAAAATTAAACATGAATGGTGAAGGGAAGACAATGGGCTGTAGACGATATATCCTTGTATGATATTCATGCACATGTTTGTCGGTTCCCTCCATTGTGTTATATTTGTAGCATTTGTCCTTTGCACACAAGATCTTGTTTGTCAGCTTTTATCTACACATAGGCCTACCTAGCGAATACTTGTCTTTCTTGTTTTCTTCAAAGATGGTGTCAACCATTTGTAGGCATTAAGAAGAATTTGAAGAAGTGTTTGAACGCCATACTAGACTATCAATGATAATACTCTTCTTCTTTTTCTTCTTTTTTCTTCTTTTTCTTCTTCTTCTTCTTCTTCTTCTTCTTCTTCTTCTTCTTCTTTTTACTTTTCCTTTTCTTCTTTTTCTTTTTTTTCTTTTTCTTCTTTTTCTTCTTCTTCTTCTTCTTCTTCTTCTTCTCCTTCTTTTTCTTCTTCCTCTTCTTCTTCTTCTTTGTCATTGTCGTCTTCTTCTTCTTTCTTTTTCTTCTTCTTCTTCTTCTTCTTCTTCTTCTTCTCCTTCTCCTTCTTTTTCTTCTTCCTCTTCTTCTTCTTCTTCTTCGTCGTCGTCTTCTTCTTCTTTTTCTTCTTCTTCTTCTTCTCCTTCTTTTTCTTCTTCCTTCTCTTCTTCTTCTTCTTCTTCGTCGTTGTAGTCGTCGTCGTCGTCTTCTTCTTCTTCTTCTTCTTCTTCTTCTTCTTCTTCTTCTTTTTCTTCTTCTTCTTCTTCTTCTCCTTCTTTTTCTTCTTCCTCTTCTTCTTCTTCTTCTTCGTCGTCGTCTTCTTCTTCTTTTTCTTCTTCTTCTTCTTCTCCTTCTTTTTCTTCTTCCTCTTCTTCTTCTTCTTCTTCTTCTTCTTCGTCGTCGTCGTCTTCTTCTTCTTCTTCTTCTTCTTCTTCTTCTTCTTCTTCTTCTTCTTCTTCTTCCTCTTGTGTTTCTTCCTCTGTCAATCATGAGATCTAATGAGATGGTACTGACCACTGAATGCAGAGCTGAGAGAGGCATGGGTAGAGTGAACCGTATGTGGGAAAATGCACTATGAGTTATCCCTCCAGGCTCCTGCGGAAGAGTTGTGTTCTTGAAGAGTAGTTGTGTGGCATTAATAACATTAACAAACGTTTTTTCTTCAATGTATAAGTGCATTCATTGTCATAGGAAGTCTCTTCTTTCCTTGTTTGTCTCATTGGGATACGTGTACAGTATACATGTGTGCATTATTATCTCAGCATGTCATGGGATGTGAACATTTCCATTTGAATAGAGAGTGAGGGAGAGAGAGAAAGCAAGAGCAGGGGGACAGTGGGAGGGGGGTGGGGTGGGGGAGAGAAAGGAGGGAGAGAGTGGGAGAGAGAGAGAGAGAGAGAGAGAAGAGAGAGAGAGAGAAAGGAGGGAGACAGAGAGAGAAAGAGAGTTTCACTTACATTTGTAAAGAGAAAGAAAGAAGAAATGTAAAAGAAATTAAAAGAACCATGAAATAGAGACACCAAGAAAAAAAAAGATCAATGGATGAAGGTAACATGTTTGATTATCATGTGGCAAAAAGAGTCAGACAAAATAAGATGAACAGACAGGAAGGGATGGGGAAGAAAATGAGGGGGGAACTGATTTCAACTTTGGTATGTAGTTATTGAGAGAAAATTAAAGAATTAAAGATAAACTTGAGTTCTGGTAAAAAAAGAAAATGAATTCTCACAGAATCTAACAAAACTTACACTGAATGTTCAAGATTACAAATAAATATCATGTGCCAAACAATTTTGGAAGAAAATGTATACTGGCTGAGTAATGAGCATAGAAAGATAAGGAAATCAGGGTAGTACTAGCCCCGACACCATGTGTGTTGTCCCATATACATCTATCTGTGTAAGTGATTGTTACTTTACCAAGACTCTGCCAAATTTATGATGATTTTGATGACTCTAGAACCTTGCATTACACACTATTACTTACATGCTATATGATCAACTTTTCTGATCCATTCCACACCTTTTCTTTCACAATGCAATCGCATTACCAGTACTCAAGTTTATCTTTAAGCTTGAGGAAGGGATGGCTTTTGCAGTAGTTACAAAGATTTCAGCAGAATTGATTTGAGAAATGAGGCTTGAAAAGGTGGTGAAAATTTTTATTGTGATGAGTGGAAAGGTGTACAGTGTAAGATCATAAAGAATTATGACTGAAATGTTGAAAATGAAATTACAATGTAGATGACTTTTTCTGCCAGTCATTGCACTTCTACAAGTTTGTTAACCTTGCACCGCCTTCCTACATGTAGCTTGGCACTCCCCCTCTCACTTTATTTATTTCTCTATATCTCCTTTTCTATATCTCTCTCTCTCTATCTCTCTATATCTCCCTCTATCTCTCTCTCTCTCTCTATCTCTCTCTATCTCTCTCTATCTCCCTCTATCTCTCTCTCTGTCACTGTCTCCCTGTATCTTGTTCTCCCTCCCCCTCTCCATCTGTATCTATTTCTCTCTAGCTCTATCCCTCTTTTTATTTTGCCTTTTTTCTTCTCAATCCTCCCCCTCTCTCTCTCTCTCTCTCTCTCTCTCTCTCTCCCTCTCCCTCTCTTCTCTCTCTGCCAGCCCCCCACCACATCCTCATCTATACAAATCATCGATCAAGGTAAAACAAAAGAACACTCGTGCTTCGCATCCTGTCTATTCTTCCACTTCCAGAAAGAAAAAAATACAAAGTGAGTTTAATGTACTTGAGATGTCATGAACTCATCAAAGAGATAGGGCGAGAGAAAGAGAAAAAAAAATCTATTCAGAGATATGATGAATAGCATTGATAAAAAGGAAGACTGTCTGATGGTTGTGTTCACATTCTATAAAAAAAACTATCCAATCACTTTCAGTCGAGGTGACGGATAACACAAGCTCTCTCTTGTGATGAAGCGACAATCAAGAGACGATTAAAATACATAGCATCCGGGCTCTGAATGGCGTGCGTTTCCGCAGAGATAATGTATTGGATTTTCCCTCGGATTGGGTGCCAAATTTAACAGTTGGACAACCGCGGAAGTATTTTTACTATCCACTCATGATGTCAGGCTCTGTAGAGACTTCACACCAACTTTTACTCATATTTTAGGGTATCGGTTCTTGGGAGTGCAGTCGACAGCCAGAAAGTTGGCCTGTCAGTACACTTATGGTTTCTCCTGGCGCTCTGCTGAACGAAGAGATTAAACTTATATTATGATAGTCTGATATTTTAATGATCAATAAATAGTGACCAACAGTGCCTTAGTAATCAATCGTTAAGCTGACAGCAGCATCTGGCTCATTTATTGCAGCAGTAAAACACAGGTAAGTGATTTGACATTGTCTTTTGTGTAGTGAACAATGGCTTATAATATTCTTTTAATTATTTAACTACAATACATAACAGTGTATTTTATTTTGAGGAATAAGTCTTATAATTGGTGCAAAAAATTCTGATATCATTGTACTTAAATAGATTTTAAATTCGCTTTTGTCTCTTTTTCCGCTTTATGTCTGTAATTTTATTATAGTTATCATCTTCACAAGTCTGTTAATTTTGTTGACATAAAAGTTACTGGACTATTTAGTCTGAGGAAGTATGATAAAATTAAGAGTTTTGTTTTTCATCAAAGGATAGGAAAGTCCTACAACTTCATATATACATTGTGTTGAACAAAACAAAGTTTTGATGACTAAGGTTTTTTTAAATTTCATATCTAATTCAAAACTTTATTGATGTAAATATTTTACTGCACCTTTATTAAAAAATAGAATGAATTGCCCTTAAACTTGTTTTTTTATTGTTTAAATTAATTTTATGATCTCTTTTAGAGGAATGACTGGAACCCATTCTATTCGAAAAATAGACTTTCTATTTTAGTCTAAAAAAATTGACTGATTTTCAGTAAAATGGGTGCTTAAAATTTTGATAATTGTACTCCGATTGATTCAATTTTCAAAACTAAATTTAAAGAAGTAATCACAAAGTGCGGCAGCTTTATTGTATTGCCCAAGTTATTGAAATGCAAGTTCGGCTTCTGCCGAACCTGCTAGAGCATGCTGCCAAGGTTTGGCTTCTGCCGAACCTGCCAGAGTAGGCCGTCAAAGTTCGGCTTTTGCCGAACCTGCTAGAGCATGCTGCCATGGTTTGGCTTCTGCCGAACCTGCCAGAGTAGGCCGTCAAAGTTCGGCTTCTGCCGAACCTGCCAGAGTAGGCCGTCAAAGTTCGGCTTCTGCCGAACCTGCCAGAGCACGCTGCCAAGGTTCAGCTTCTGCCGAACCTGCCGGAGTAGGCCGTCATAGTTAGGCTTCTGCCGAACCTGCCAGAGCACGCTGCCTAAGTTCGGCTTCTGCCGAACCTGCCGGAGTAGGCTGTCAAAGTTCGGCTTCTGCCGAACCTGCCAGAGCACGCTGCCTAAGTTAGGCTCCTGCCTAACCTGCAAGACCACCCAGCCAAATTTTTCTTCTTACAAAAAACTTCTCATTCCTCTTTACATCATTCCGGTGTTTCTTTGTAGTGCAACTTTCTTTCAATTCTTGGGGAAATCAAAGGCATAACTGCTTATTTACTCAAGACATATAATTTGTATGCAGTTAATTGAAGTAATTATGGTACTCTATGCAATTTTTTGGGCCATGTGTGAAGGTAGGAATTAAGTAACAAATGATGTTAGGCATATCTGTCCTGAAATTATATTCTGCTACTACTTGGTTTTAACTTGGAAAGAAATAGAATGTATGAACATAGATATATGAAGCGGCAAAATAACATCCATGTATATTAATGATTACTTCTATTTATATTGTATTTGCCCCTTTAAGATGACCTGATGGGCTTGTGCAACACTATGCCTATTCGCAATGTACATGTACCATACTGTATACATGTATGTATGTATTCCATGGGCACTTCTAGCTGGTCCAGCAATGTTTAGATTACTCCTGACCTGTCTGACCCCTGGGTTCACATTGTCCACATGAAGACATGTCTTGTATATATTGGGGCATTGGTAACTGTGTTGTAGGGTAGAGTGAGCACCTCTCGTTACAGAGTGAGCTGATGACAGATTTTTCCAGAATTATTTCATTTTATGTTGAATTGGGGTTAAAAAACAGAAAGTTGCACTGAGGGAAAGTAGACAAATTATAGTAGATTGGTGAAAATTTGATGGAAATTAGACAAAGTTATGATTTTAAAAAAGTTGTAATCACTACACATAAGGGAATCTCAAATTGGCAAACTATAGTCATTCGACTGTGACGTACTCCCTGAAAACTCTCCCATTTGTTGTACGCTAAAATAACATTAATTTCCAGTGTTCTCCTAAACACCTTTTCACTCTGGGTATTATTCAAAATATATGGATTGCATATACATGTTGGTCCTGCAATAAACAAGAAATCTTTATCATAAATTCTCAAAAATGAGATTTTAGTCATGTTTGGTATTGGAACAAATGACAGGGTTGTACCGGCACTGTGCATTACCGATTCAGCCAATTTGAAACTCCCATATGTAAAGTGATTGCATTCATTAAATTTTACAACTTTCAGAAATTCAAAGCTATCGTATTATTTGTCTGATTTCGTAGAAAATTTCACCAATCTGCTCCAATGATTATTCGCTTTTCCCCAGAGCAAGTTGCTATGAAGGTAGGATTTCCCTTTAAACTAATAATGTAGCATCTTTATAAGAGGGTTTTTTTAATGTCAAACTCACTCGATTTATTAGATAGATTAGTTTTGGACTGATCCAATCATGCCATCTATGATAGTATTTTTCCCATTCCTCCTTGCATCATCCCGTTTCTTGTACAACTTCCTTTCAATCCTGGGGAAAATCAAGGGCATGCACTGCATATACTAAAGACACATAATTTGTATGGCCATGTGTGAAGTTCGGAAGTAACAAATGATATCAGGCATCTGTCCTGAAATTATGTTCTTCTACTTGGTATTAACTTGGAAAGGAATTGCCTACTGAATGTATGAACATACCGTAGATGTCTGTATTGACTGTAGGGGCAAAATAACATCCATGTCCATTAATGATTATTTCTGTTTATATTGTATTTTCCCCTTTAAGATGACCTGAAGGGCTTGTGCAACATTATGCCTATTTGCAATGTACATGTACCATACTGTATACATGTATGTATGTATTCCATGGGCACTTCTAGCTGGTCCAGCAATGTTTAGATTACTCCTGACCTGTCTGACCCCTGGGTTCATGTTGTCCACATGAAAACATGCCATACAAATTGGGGCATTGGTCACTGTCATTTGTAATATGTGTCGGACATAGTACAGTGCAGATGGCTGTTTATGGGGTACTGCATGTGATTGTTGTAAGTAACTTCAGTAATTAAATTTCTTGACAGAAGAGCTGAGAGTAGAACATTCATTTAGATCTTCCAAAGTCAGTTAACATTCAAAATTGCATGAAATAGAAGTATCGACGTACAGTGCATGTAGACATGGACAATTTAAAAGGGCACACACTCACAAAAATCTCTAACTCTCTTGATTCATGTATGTAGACCTAAATATCAATATCTTAATGAAAAATTGATTCAAGATCGTACTCGCCTTTTTCAGTTTTACGTGCCAGAAGAATAATTGCGTCCACAGCTTGTAGAATTCAGCTTGCCCAACAACAGTGGGATCAAATAACTCTTCCTTGTGGCTTGTCCTGGAGGTATTCATTGTATATCTTTCTTGATGAAACAAATTTCATCTTTATGTGGCATGTGGTCAACTCTGATCTACTTCAAATGTATTCTTCCAGCCAGATAGTACAGAGAATACTTGTTTGAGACATTTTTCTGTTCGTGAATTTGGAAGATGAGAGGCTCCCCATTAAGGCAGCTCTAGCCTCTTCCTCTGAAGAATGATGCTCTATGAATGCCCATGCAGGAATGTGTAAAATTCAACTTGACACACTTTTGGTCCTTTTTCAATTTCAATAGTCCTTTGTATGTTTAAACCTTGGCAGCATGCTCTGGCAGGTTCGGCAGAAGCTGAATTTTGACGGCCTGCTCTGGCAGGTTCGGCAAAAGCCGAACCTTGGCAGCGTGCTCTAGCAGGTTCGGCAGAAGCCGAACTTTGACGGCCTACTCTAGCAGGTTCGGCAGAAGCCGAACTTTGACGGCCTTCTCTGGCAGGTTCGGCAGAAGCCAAACCTTGGCAGCGTGCCCTGGCAGGTTCGGCTGAAGCCAAACCTTGGCAGCGTGCTCTGGCAGGTTTGGCTGAAGCCGAATTATGACGGCCTACTTTGGCAGGTTCGGCAGAAGCCGAACCTTGCAGCGTGCTCTGGCAGGTTCGGCTGAAGTCAAACCTTGGCGGCCTACTCTGGCAGGTTCGGCAGCGTGCACTAGCAGGTTCGGCAAAAGCCGAACTTTGACGGCCTGCTAGCTCTGGCAGGTTTGGCAAAAGCCGAACCTTGGCAGCGTGCTCTAGCAGGTTCGGCAGAAGCCGAACTTTGACGGCCTACTCTAGCAGGTTCGGCAGAAGCCGAACTTTGACGGCCTTCTCTGGCAGGTTCGGCAGAAGCCAAACCTTGGCAGCGTGCCCTGGCAGGTTCGGCTGAAGCCAAACCTTGGCAGCGTGCTCTGGCAGGTTTGGCTGAAGCCGAATTATGACGGCCTACTTTGGCAGGTTCGGCAGAAGCCGAACCTTGCAGCGTGCTCTGGCAGGTTCGGCTGAAGTCAAACCTTGGCGGCCTACTCTGGCAGGTTCGGCAGCGTGCACTAGCAGGTTCGGCAAAAGCCGAACTTTGACGGCCTGCTAGCTCTGGCAGGTTTGGCAAAAGCCGAACCTTGGCAGCGTGCTCTGGCAGGTTCGGCAGAAGCCGAACTTTGGCGGCAAGCTCTAGCAGGTTCGGCAGAAGCCGAATTTTGACGGCCTACTCTGGCAGGTTCGGCAGAAGCCGAACCTTGGCAGCGTGCTCTGGCAGGTTCGGCAGAAGCCGAACTTGCATTTCAATAACTTGGGCAATACAATAAAGCTGCTGCACTTCGTGATTACTTTTTTTAATTTAGTTTTGAAAATTGAAACAATTGGAGTATAAAAATCAAAATTTTAAGCACCCATTTTAATGAAAATCAGTCAATTTTTTTAGACTAAAATAGAAAGTCTATTTTTCGAATAGAATGGGTTCAGTGGGTAGAAAATTGAGATATATTATTTTTACAATTTTTTTTAAAGGGAGAAATACAATTATTACATTATGGCTTAAGCTTAAGTGTAGACTAACAACTACTTAATTTCAGATTTTGTCTAGAGCTGTTTCTTTATGTGGACATCGCATAATTATTTTGATTGTGCATACTCATGGTCAGATGGTAATAAAATAAACTTATGATCATATCATTGATTTTGATAGTAATATTGGAAAACTTGTAATACATGAAAGAGAATAAATATTGCCCAGGTGATTCCATTTCATCTACAGCCTGTTATGTTTCTCACATCATGTCCAATCGTCTTAAAAGTTTGTACTTTTTTCATTTTCAGTCGTACAATGGAAACCACTGAACTTGTAGAGAGAAAAATGGCTGTTCAGGGTCATGGAGTGAGTACGTGCAGTCCAAACTATGAGCTCTTGACTACTAAAGTCAGCATCTGCTCGGTGATCACGATCGTTGGAAAGAAGAAAGTTGTCCTCCTCCACGCAGACTCTAGCATCACAGGAGAAGACATCCAGGAGATCGCCAAGGGGTTGGAATCCGATGATGAAGATGATCCCAAACCCAAGATCAGCTATGTCTGCTCCAGTAAAGAGGGATATCTTGAGATATGGACAGACATCATGTGTGGACTGCTCCCAGAGTTGTGCTACCCGCAGCGGTCTCGTATCAAGTTCTCTGCTGGGAAGTTCAGCGTATGCAGCCTTGATGAGTCCACAGATGGCTACTATCATCTACCCAGGTCGGACCTGGTTGCTTTGGTGGACACAGAGTGCCTTTGGGCGTCTCTTTACTTCAGCGACTCTATCCGCTTCGGACCAATCCTCCTGGACACTGTGCAGGATCTGGAAGAAGGTCTGATAGCCGCAGGTAACGCTCTCTCAGTCGTGCATCTGCTGAGCTTTGACGGTATCATCAAGGAGATACAGGTCGATGCTTTCCTGCAACGCTACTGGAAGACCACAATCCTTGGAAGGTTCCTTGAAGAGTTTTCTCCTAACCTGCTGCCCTCATTTGAGGGCATGACGCACCTAAGCGTTGCAGAGTTTCTTGGCAAAGACAATGCCAAGGAGGAAGACAAGAAGATGGTGGAGGACATTGTGGTTGACTATGGCATCTTGGTGCTCTCTTTTCTGGACACTCTGAAAGACTTCACCTATCCATCAGCGTTCACACCCAAGAACGGAAACAAAGAAACAGACACCGGCTCACTACCAACGAAACCAGAGCAGGCCCAAACAAGTGGGCCACAACAACAGGCCAGGTCCCCCAGGAGAGGTTCTCAAAGTACAGACTCACTAGGACCGTCTCTGTTTGAGGAATCATTTAAAAATGTCAAAATAAGCAATGACGTGCCTCCCAAGCAAGCCAGGCCTCGAAGAGCAAGTGCCATTAAGCTGTTTGAAAAGAAGAGATGAGAAGTCTTTAACAGGATATTTCAAAAGAACGATGGGATTGAGTTAAGGCAAGGTGTTTAAGGAAACTAAGAGATAATCAAGTTGCTTTTCAAAACTTGAAACTGAAATGTGCAATTTAAAGTAGGAAAAGAGTTTGGCATACATGTAGGAATCTTTTTGCACCAACGTGGTTGCAGCTTGAAAAAGACACAGCCATACCTGAAATCTTGCCTAATACATTTCAACTTCAAAATTTAAAAATAAAATAATCCAAAACACACTATGTTCAATATGATTTAAAAGCTGCATTATCTTAACTCATCTGCTGCTGCTATGATTAAGCTGTACCATATGGTTTTACTTATTTAGTGCTTCCTGACTATTTCTGTTTGTAATAACAGATGAGTGTGAAAAACATGATTATCCTTAATAGCTTTCAAGACAAAATAAAGTTTTATGCAATTGCTATGGCTCTGTCCCTTAAAGATGTAAAATCTTAGTCCCTTTTCAGACATTTCCTAATTTGTTTAGTCAAAGATTAAAAAAAGAGGGCAGTGTATTTTCCATGATAATACAGACAAAAAAAATCTAATTAGTTTGTTATCTTGATTCAGCGAATCAGCAATATAGAGTTTAGAATGATACGTCCATGGACTTTCTGTCTCCGAATTGCTTATGTACAGTGTACCCCAAAACATAAGAACATTGGTGCATCATTCCAGCATTTTGAATCAAATTATAGTAACTGAGCCTCTGAAAATGGAGTGAAGTTTGGAGAAATGTGAACACTGTACTCACATAATGGATCAAATACCTTTTTTCAGATAACTGATGAAGCATATTTTCACAAAATTGCCTTGCTGCTGATTTAGATTTTTTTAAACATTTGAGTTCAGCAATGTTTAGACATGGTGCATTTACATGTAGGTGTCTTGTTAATATAGTAGAATACTTGTATTTGAAGATGTAGTATATAAATCTAGCTTGAAAGGGCATTGTACAAAATCTTGGACCAACAGGACACTTGCATACATACATTGTATCTGTAATACACTTAGATTATACAATTTGTATATAGAATTTAATCTAAATAATAATGTGCCCATATATTTCTTTTTTTTTGTTCTTATAACTTGTATGTAGATAGATTATTGTCAGACATAGCAGATTTATTTGAAAGGCAGCAATGCTTTCAAAGTGTAATCAAAAGATGCTTTCAAAGTGTTATTAAAAGATTTGGTGCCATGCATTTGATCGTCAATTTGATAGAAGTTTGGTGTAAGATATGGTCAAAACTTCTGTAGCGACCACCTGTCTGTAAAGACCACAGTTTTTTTCCCCCCATTGAAATCTACATTAAACAAACTTGTATAATGATTATAAAGACCACTTGCTCATCAAAACTGCTTTTCTTGTCTCTACATGTACATGTATGAGCGGTCTTTATGTACAGGTTGTACTGCATTTGTTGACATATTTCCCTCTAAATTGGGCCTTTTTCTTGATTTTTTTTTACAATGGTAAGGTCAAATGACCTGACTTTGGTGAACAACTGAACAATTTTTGTTTTAAATATACATTGTAGATATATGAAATGTACAGTTGCGCTGAATCTGCAGGTAGTATAAAGAATTAAAAATAAAACTGGTATAATGTAACAACACATTGTTCCATGTATGACATGCTTTCTGCTGAATGTACTTGTAAATGTTTAAAAAGATTCTGAAAATCAATGATACATTTATTTGTAAACTGTACTACTCTGTTTACAAACATGATGTATTAGAGCCATGCACAAACTTCATATAAGCCAGCAGAAGTTTGCATATGTGAGCACATACTTATTATGCATTGGTATATACATGTATATTGTACATGTAGTAAGGACACTCAGTGTTTCTGATATTTTAAAACTTTCCTTTGTCTATAGTGCATCACTTCAGCATACATGCCAACTGTTCAGATTAAAGAGGAACATTCCTCTTTTTGGGAGAAGATAATTATCATTTTAATGCAGGTGTTCCTCTTTCTGTACAAATTTGTCTGTAGTATTGAATAGGAGAGTTAGGATTGTTCCTCTTTTTTTTTTAAATAGCATAATTTGTACAGATTTCTGTTTTTCAAATGTTGGCATGTATGCTTCAGGAAAAAAAAGGTAATACCAGATTAGAATTGTTAGTATTGTGCTATGTAGCTAATTAAAAGAAATCTGACTAAAAGTTTGATGGGGGGGGGGGGGTACCAGAATGATTATACATCTATATGCTTGTTACTTTTATTTGACTAGAATAAAGATTCAGAGTTCATGTGCTCATCCATGTATAGGTTCTTTACTTAATCTGTTATGTGTTCATATTTGAAGAGTGGTAGTTGATTTACTTTTTTAAGAAGAAGAAGAAGAAGAAGAAGGCTTTCATAAGCATTTAAAGATATCCCCCTTCCCCTTCCATCATAAAATTGAAAGTGAAAATAAGACAGGAGTAAGTAAAAGGAAGGACAGGAAGTGATACAAGAAGAAAGAGAGTGAGAACAAAATAAAAAGAGCACATGGCTGATATAGGGAAAGAGACACACAAAGAGAGAGAGAAAAAAAGACCTTGATATCTCTACAAAATATGAAAAGAGCATATGGCTGATATAGGGAGAGAGAGACAAACAGAGACGGAGAGAGAGAGCCCCTGATATCACTAAAAAAAAATAGAAAGAGCATCTGGTGTGGCTGATATAGGGAGAGAGAGAGAGAGAGAGAGAGAGAGAGAGAGAGAGAGAGGAGACAAGCAGAGAGAGACCCTGATATCACTACAAGGGTAAACCATAGAGCTCCATGGATAAACTGTAAATTGCCCTTTTGTGCACATCGGGGGAGACCTCAGGCACTTGTTGCTTCCACACCTGCAGTAAGTTGGGGCAATCTCTTGAAGGCCGGACTCCCCTATTTAAAAAGTCTTGTTTTCGGCCAAGACAGCTTACATGAGAACAGGGTCATATGTTGAGATAGAGAGGGAACGAAAGAGAGAAGGATAAATTGAGTAAGTGAATGATGATATGAAATTACCCATCACATGCATGTATTCTCTGAGGAGACTCTCCTTTAGAGAGCTAGAGAGAGAGAGAGAGAGAGAGAGGGGGGGGGGGTAAATTGACAAAGTGAATGATGATATGAAATTGCACATCACATGCATACTCTCTGACAAGGCTCTCCTTTAGAGAGCTGAGAGAGAGAGAGAGAGAGAGAGAGAGAGAGAGGGGGGGGGGGGGGGGGGAGATAGAAAGAAAGAGAGAGAGAAAGAGAGAAGGATAAAGTGACATAGTGAATGATGAAATGAAATTGCAAATCACATGCATACTCTCTGACAAGGCTCTCCTTTAGAGAGCTGAGAGAGAGATAGATAGAGAGAGAGAGAGAGAGAGGGGGGGGGGGGGGGGGAGAGATAGAAAGAAAGAGAGAGAGAAAGAGAGAAGGATAAATTGACTAAGTGAATGATGATATGAAATTGCACATCACATGCATACTCTCTGACAAGGCTCTCCTTTAGAGAGCTGAGAGATAGATAGATAGAGAGAGAGAGAGAGAGAGAGAGAGAGAGAGAGAGAGAGAGAGAGAGAGGGTGAGAGATAGAAAGAAAGAGAGAGAGAAGGATAAATTGACTAAATGAATGATTATATGAAATTGCACATCACATGCATACTCTCTGACAAGGCTCTCCTTTAGAGAGCTGAGAGAGAGACAGAGAGAGAGAGAGATAGATAGATAGAGAGAGAGGGGAAGATAGAAAGAAAGAGAGAGAGAAAGAAAGAAGGATAAATTGACTAAGTGAATGATTATATGAAATTGCACATCACATGCATACTCTCTGACAAGGCTCTCCTTTAGAGAGCTGAGAGAGAGATAGAGAGAGAGAGAGAGAGAGAGAGAGGGAGAGAGAGAGAGGGTGAGAGATAGAAAGAAAGAGAGAGAGAAGGATAAATTGACTAAGTGAATGATTATATGAAATTGCACATCACATGCATACTCTCTGACAAGGCTCTTCTTTAGAGAGCTGAGAGAGAGAGAGAGATAGATAGAGAGAGGGGGAGAGATAGAAAGAAAGAGAGAGAGAAAGAGAGAAGGATAAATTGACTAAGTGAATGATGATATGAAATTGCACATCACATGCATGTCTTCTCTGACAAGGCTATCCTTTAGAGAGCTGAGAGAGAGAGAGATAGAGAGAGATAGAGAGAGAGAGAGAGAGAGAGAGAGAGGAAGAGAACGATAAAGTGACAAAGGGGATGGTGATACGAAATTGCACATCACATATTCTTTGACAAGATAAATACTTGTAGCATTTACTCAGAGGAGAGAAATAGAAAGGTGATGGACAGAAAAATAACAATAATCAATCAGCAACATTTATAAAGTGCTTGATACCATGTATACCATGTACAGCACAAGTGAAAGTCCTGAAAGTGAAGCTTAATGTTGAAAAAGACCCCGTTCTCATTCACTTCGTTGGAGCTGTATTACTAAGACCCGTTCCTCAGGAGCAGTTCTTAGGTGAGTGAGAATGGTCAAAGTGGTCCAGGAAGTGGACTTCTGGACCGCTCCAGAAGACCACCTCGGGAGGTGGTCTTGAGGAACGGGTCTTATTAAGAGCGGTTTGGACCGCTCTAACGTGCAATGTGAACGGAAGCGTACTTTGACCGGAAGTGAGCTAGTGACGTTCCGTGCGAAACATGTAGTACGGTACATACGGTTTGTATTCCGCGCACAAAAAATTGACCTGCTGACCTGAGCTGCCATAGCAACAAGACCACTTTGACTCGTGGAGCCATAAAAAACTGCTCGGAGTGTGAACGCTCGCAAACAGTTCCTCAAGACCTGTTCCTCTGGAGCGGTCTAACTAAGACCACTTTCAAAGTGAGTGAGAACGGGGTCAAAGTGAGAGAAAGAAGTAGAAAGAGAGAGAGAGAGAGGGGGGGGGGGCAGAAAGGAGGGGGAAAACGATACGGGGGGATAGAGTAGGAATACAGAAAGGGATGGATGAAGGAGAGATGTGAGGAGAGAATGGAGGATTCTGGAGATTCAGAGTAGGCAGACAGAAATTAAAAAAAATATGGGGGTCGAAGAAGAGGTAGAGTAACACATGAAAGAAAACTACAGCTTGAAAGTTGAAACTTCTTTTGAAAGAGAAATTGATGGAATGAAGGGATCGGATAAATAAAAATAGATGAATATAGTACTTTATTTTGCAAATATATCACTTGTACATTTGGGCTAGATATATTATCGCGGACTTAAAATGGCATGCTTACAGTATTTACATATTGATTTCTTTCAATGCTGTTTGATTGGCGTATACGATTATATGATTATATGATAGCGCTTAGAGACTTCGGTGATAAGCGCTTTATAAGTAACGTTTTTATTATTATTAATATTATACATTTATTTTTTATATCATGCCCAATAATGTGTTTACATTTTTTAAGTAGCTCCCTCTCTACTATCTCTGTCTCTGTCTGTCTCTATCTCTCTCTCTGTCTCTCTCTCTCTCTCTGTCTCTGTCTCTCTCTCTCTCTCTCTCTCTCTGCCTCTCTCTCTCTCTCTCTCTGTCTCTGTCTCTCTCTCTTTCTCTCCCTGCATCAACTAACCCTCAGGATAGGGAGAGCGGTGGCAAGATCACACTCATTTG